AAAGTCATTAACATCAGATTGTAGATCATAATGTGGTTCCAGACTCGCGTTCTGAAGAGAAAAGTCAGAATCAAAATACTGAAGCTGCTCATCCTCACAGAAGTCTTGTGGGATGGAGTCAGTGCCAATGATCAAAGGGTTCGCCACTTGGCTTGGAAAACTCAAAGGTTGGTCGAACATAACATCCATGGAGTCAATGCTTAGCAACCCATAATCATCCAAGCTAACACCCCAATGGAATAGATGGATGGCATGATGTCTGGGGAAGAGGCACTTAGCTGCATACAATCAGATTTGCCCACTTTTTCGGATGCCAAATCCTTATTGCCATCAGAACTCCCTGGGATGGCTGAGTTTGAGGGGTAAAGACCATTGGACATGGGCAAAAGGCCATCCGTAAGAGAGGCCTCATCATCAAAAGAGACTACATCCTCGAAGTTTCTAAACGCAGAAATTACCGAGTTGTGGGCGTCAGCCTGAAAACAATGCCAGTTATACGGAAGTTAGGGATTATTTTCTTCCAAAAAAAAAACAAAGAAAAGAGCAGAAGTGAAAGGAACAAAAAGTAACAGCAAAAAAGAAACATAACAATTTTGCGACAGGCGGAACATGCCTTTTCCGTTTCAGATAGCTTATCAGTGGCAATATATTGGCAATCTGAAAGTATTCCCATCAACTGCCCCACAGCATTGAAAACTACCCCAGCCTTGTGTTGAGATCCGGAAGGACAGTACAAGTAGCACCTCGTATCAATTTCGCATGTCCGAGCATGGTCCACTGTAACTTTCCACATTTTAGCAGACATACCTGTCCCAAGGATCTGCAGAAGTTCCAAGAAACGAATTGTTACTGACTTGTACTCTAAAATAGTTATTGAGAAATTCAAAGAAGAAAACTGTTATTGCTAAAACATGAAAGGAAGGCTAATGAGCACCAAAAGTTACAGGTCAGAGAAACATTTATGTCCTGTATAAACAGAGGCCGGAATTTATTTATTTTAATCCTCTAATTTCAACCCTCAACCCTCAACCCACCCCTCCTCCCTTCAACAGGGAGGAGGCTCGTTGTGATCCAAACCCTGTGGCCAAGGATAAGGACATGGATACAAGGAGTCCAACACAGCAACCTTAAAATCCTTAAATATAGGTTGTCCAGATACACATTTTAGCATGAACAAATTGTCAAGTCATCTGATTCACACAGATTGTAAGGCAGCTATGCAAAATGTCCTAGTCTCGGAATGCAAATATGAAATACTTCTTTTGGAGTTGGATATCATTCTAAGCAACAAAGAGCAATATTGCCTTTTTCATGTCATTCACAAAGAGGAGGTAGTTATTTGTGTCAGAAGATAGCCCTTCTCAAACCGCAGCCTGCTTCACACATATATGCGTTATCATCACTTCAATATATAGAATTTCTATATATCAATGGCTCGCTAGGTTCCTTTCATTTCAAATATAGAACCATTAATGTCATGACATAACAAAAGGTCACTACATCATCATTCTATGAAATTCTTGTTACAAATTCTACCCTTGAAGCCTTTTTCCAAACAGAATTGTTTACAAGATGATGGTGCCTTGTAGGCTCGAATGTTACTGATCCATGTGGCAAAAATACAAGGAGCAGTAAATTCTTACATTTCGAAGCCTTGTAGGGTCTAGGAACAGTAGAGTCAAAAAATCCTTCACTGTGTAGACTTTTTCTTCAATCAACCGCTTGTGAAAAGCTCCATATCTGCCAATTTTTTCTAGCTGCCACACTTCACCCAGAAGAGATGGGGAGTGGGGCTTCTTGTACACTGCAAAAAAATTTGCAGTAAATAAATGTGAAATCTACAACAATCATACTATCATGATAATAGTTCAAAATCTCCGAGATACCACTTTATCTTTACTTTCCCTCTTTTAGTTTCACAAGCTAGTTACATGATTCCGTAAGACAAGAATAAGACGTCAGAATGAGATCAAAGTGTAACACAGAAAAACCAGGAAAAAAAGGGGGCATATGAATTCAATTGTACAATATACTAGTATATAAGTGGAGAAGGGAAAATAATGACCAAGAACAAAATGGACGTCTATTCTTCTTTCCACCAAAATGTATAAAAGTCACCAACATTCAACCAATACTTGATATGTCAGGCAAAAATACAGTGAATCACCTTTCTTAACACCACATCATACTCTGGGTCACTACCATGGTTCTAATGTTTGATTAACAGCTAAAAATTTCCGTTTACAAGCTGGAGTAGGAAAGAGAGCATCTAAAAATTCTCCAACATCATTCCTAGCTCCTCAAAGTTATAGTTGCATAATCACATTTATGCAAACCACTTCTAAATATTTTGAAATTTTCAAACTTATGTGTGCATCACCATTTAGAAATACCGCTTGCCATCCTCCAAACAATGATCTAATTAATGTTGTAACTTGTTTCTGAATCACGATAGTCCAAATAAATGCCATTTGAACCACAAAATGCCAATGTACACCACGCCAAATACAGTTAGAGAACCTAGCAAAACAATCATTTTCATATAAGAGCTTCAAGGTTCACACACAAGTAATCCATGTCCATAATAGAGTTAAAATGAGAAGAGCCAACACACAACCATTCTGTCATAGAAGCACTAAAACAGAAGCCTCAGATTAGTCCAATGGACTTGTGTCTTGTACAATCCCCTTTGTTCTTTCCATCGGGGTATTCTAACTGCCATAAAAATACCCATGTCCCAGCATTTTATTTGCAATAAAGAGACACTATTTACATCAATAATTCCATAATTTGATTCACTGTTTCTCAACAGTTCCCTGTGGTGTTTAAATGAGATAGCTTCACTCTCAGGTACCACCATGGGTTAAGTTACCCATCTAGCTCATGGAATTGCAAGACTTCTCCCACTACCAAACCGTCACTACCACTACAATTAATTGATGCTAGAAAATAACGCCAAAACTGTAAAATACTAATCATGGGAGGACCCAAAGCAGTGAATAGAAATGTCAAAGCAATCAGTGAGGAAAGGATATATTTGATTACTATCTTCCAAAAGCTCACAATGTTGTGTGCAATTTTTAGGCCTTTAGTAAAAACTGCTAGATCTTATCGATGTTCAGCTGCTGTAGGATGATTGTATAGCTCATGATGCTACAAATAGACCTTCTTTGGGTATTGCACCTTAAATTTGAATCTAACCTTGCAACAAAGATACAAACAGAGCGATACATGCTGGGGATTGGATAAGACCTATATCTAAGACTTCTACACTTCCACATCTACCTTTCTCCAACAGTTTTCACCACCACAGTATTAACTTCAGATTCCCAACTTTTAATAACGTTAATTTTTTTTTGAGCTTAGACATCAATAATTTTTCGAGTGTCATAATAATTTACTTACATGCCCAATATCTTATTATAATTGTGCAACCTTGAAAAAGGTGGAGAAGCAAAATAACATAATGTTAGAAATGCTTACGTTTATTTCGGCGATCCTTGATTAAGAAGGATTCTGTCTTTGCCTCTTTAACTCTAGTCCCAGTAACCCTATCTACAACCCTTGCCCCCAGCCTGAACTTCTGTATTTTCATCCAGTGTGCACCATGTTTGAACTTAATAGCACCTACACGACCAATGCCTTCATGTAGTTTGAGGTCTACACTTCCAACAAGAAGAGAGTTTCTTCCTTCATTTTCCCTGAAAATCTTATCATTAAACTCTTCATGTGTCCAATTGTCTCTTTCATCACCATCAAAATCTCCCATAAGAGGTACTATTTCCACCTTTGAAAAAGCTTCAGGTCCCGAGTTAACAACTTGCCCAGTTAAATCGTCGATTAATTCTATTGTAATAGAGTTACCCCCTTCTCCTTTGATCTCCTCCCCTGTAAAGACTGGAAGACCGACTTTGTTTGGAAACTGTAGCTTTAAGATCCTTGGTTCTGAAGTATTTATCGCTCTCTCCGGATTCCTGACAAAGAAGTGCAAGGATGCGTCAGTTTGGGGTAGTAATTGGTAATGATGATCTAACAAGACCACCTCCTCACAAAATAAGAAAATCATAAATGGCCCAGAATATAGATCCTCACTGGTTAATGCTTGTCAAAATCTTTTCTGGTGCCAATTCAATTGCCTCGTTAACCTGGAAAGAGATGTTGAATCAAGAAGATAGAGATGATAATTTAAGAAATTGAAAGTCATACTTTCACAATCTCAAGGACCACTGGCCATAGTAGACTAGGCTCTCATCCTTATTTGAAGCTAGAACACATGGCTTCAATGCAAAGTCGAAGTACTTTAAGTTACACAACACCACCCAGACAAGCATACACGTACATGAGTTTTAGGCACAATCACAACAGGTAACAATAAAACGATTGCCCAATAATATGGTAACATCTCTCCCACTTTATTTAGGATTCCCAAAAAAGTTGGTTTTAATTAAAATGGAAGCAGGATAGAGCAGTTAAACCTTTAAGAGTTGAGATTCAGCTCAAACGCATGAGATATATATTTTGAACAGAGTCTTGAGAATACACACACTAATTAAAAAACAAAGAACTGGGATGCAATGAACATTGGATTTGTGAATAATGTCATAGACAATTGAGGACCTATTCTGAACTCGTGTGCACCAGTAGTGAAAATCATGTGGGGCACATTGGCATCCATCTTAATATGAGAGTCCTACAGACACCGAAGAGCAATTCATGAGAGACAAATCACGAATTCACATTATACCTTCAACACAAAACCTATTGGTAGAAGATTGACATCAAATAATAGATATAATGAGTCTCCTGATCAATCAGACAGCAGTTAGAGAGAGAGAGAGAGTGATTTGTTGAGGGAGCAGTTGGAGAGAAAGAGAGAGGCAAGTTCTATTATCAAAATTTAGAGGAATAAATGTCAACTTTGCCATTTCCTGGATCTAAGAGACTGGCAACATAAAATTCAAGTTACGAATAACTCAATGATGTCATTCAAGTGCATAGGTACCCAGAAACTCGCAAGAAAACGCATAAATGGGCATGATAAAGTCCACTACACCACTACTTGGAGAAAGTGTACCTTTTGGGCAGTGGAAACACATCTTATTAACAGTATATGAAGCTTAGCATCCATTTACAGTTATTATTTCCTTGAATGTTAACACAAGTACCCAATTAATCAAAATTAGATGCAATAATTCGCCAACAAAGTAAAATAAGCACCAAAGCCACATTATAATATATGAAAACTATCGCATAAAGTGGCTTGAAAACTTTATATAAGAAAAGCCCCCTATCGATGAATTTATATAACCTGTCAATGTAAGAAAGTGACCACTTGTAATGACCTGCAACAATCTTAGCTTTTCGTTTACACGGTCCTCTACGAACAGAGTTACCTTAGCATGATGGTCCTTTCAAAATTTTCATATCTTCCTACTATTGCATTATAGAAGCTTTATATTACTCAAACGAAAACTAATATTTTCCTTTACGACCTTTCAACGAAAGAAAATTCCATCATTGTACATATTTCAGGGAGGATGACAGCAAGAAAAATTCTGTATTAATAGGGCACGAAATGGAAATGCATATAGAAATAAAAATTGATACCACTGTTAGCAAACTCTGAATCCCATATGGCCAAAACTATACAGAATAGGAAGATAATTCAAAACATACGAACTCCTTGAGACATCAATACGTAACATAATGACATCAATGCACAAAATTTGCACGGACGTGTTCAATTTTTTTTAAAAGGGATATAACATACATGAGTTCCCAACCCCGATCTTTCAAAATAGACTTTTATGTGTGCATGTGTGTCATCTGCGGCCTTCTCACCTAGGTTCCACTGTATAAGGAGAGAGCACAAGAAGGGGAAGTATCAATTTCCTGTGTATAAAGAACTAACTCAAAGGGTCATGCACCATTCATTGTAAACCAAATCCTTAACCTGAACTCCTTATAGGGGTGGGGTGGGGGTACGGAAGCTGAAGGGGCTACTGCACTTCCAAGGTTTAAAGGGTTCCCCTGTAACTGCACCCCCCCCCCCCCCCAACACGCAATACACTTCTTGAGATAAAATCAAGTTTAACTTAGTAAGATCACAAAACAGTTCTAAAATAGTTTTGTTTCCTATCAAATTCGAAAAAATTGCCAAACAGTGCTCCAAGCAAAGCAAGGAATCTGAATCAAGGTAAAGCTCAATTCTTGAAAAACAAATTATACACCCACATATGCACTGAAATGCATACACACATATACAAACATACACCCAGATTTTTTCGAATTCGGGTGGTTACAACTTACAAATCTAAGTGTATGTTACAAACATATGCACAGGATTACATGAAAATGAGAGGATTGAACCAATTAGCCATTTTCTTAACACATAAACAGGCAGATCCGCAGGTGCGCAAATATACACCCACACAGCACACACATACACATAGAACCACTCATAAACAAATGCATTTGTATATATATGAACCAGATGTGTTATGGCCACAAAATGCACTCACAACTCTACGAAATCAAGTTTAACTTGGTAAGATCACAGAACAGTATCAAAATAGTTTCGTTTCCTATCAAAAAAGAAAGATCTCCACATAGTACTCCAAGCAAAGCAAGGAAACAGAATCAAGGTTAAGCTCAATTCTTGAAAAACAAATTTGAGATACACACCCACATATGCACTGAAATGCACAAATAAAATTCGCATGCATACACATAAATATTTTCGAATTCAAGTGGTTACAAATCTACATGTATGTTTATGTATACAAAAATATGCATATAAATACATGTACATGTAAGCATTGAACCAATCAGCCATTCATAAACACACAAGCAGGCAGATGCCCAAATACACACACACACGTACACATATACAAATGCATATGTGTGTGTACATATATATATATATATATATATATATATATATATAAAACCAGATGTGTTACGGCCACAAAATGCACTCACAACTCTACGGTACAAATTCTCGGCAATCGGCACAATCACACGCTCGGCAATCCGCTCAATCACACGCTCGGCAATCGGCTCAATCATCTCCTCCAGCTTCCTCCTAAAAATAAAAAATAAAAAACAAAGTAAAAACTTAATCAAAAAATATGAATCAAAACCCACTTCAGTTCTCTACTGATTTTCCAATTTCTTGCTCATCATTTGGGTGATAGTCTCAAAGCAGCCGCAGCAAAAGAAAGAGAATTGACTTACTTAATCCTTCTATTCATCAATTCATCATCTGAACCGCTATTCTCTTCTGATCCAAAGTTATTTCCATCTTCTAACTGTCGATTTAGCTGCATTTTTCACACTCAACAACGTTTGATTCACCAACAACGTTGTAAGAATCTTGTGGGCTTGTGGGTGTGTTACTAAACATGGATTTAAAGAAAGAGAGAGACTCCTTCGAGAAAGTAGGGCCCAGAAAAAAGCGCGTTGTTGAAGAAGGGGAAAAAACTGCAACTGGAAACACACTTCCCCACACTATCTTTGTTGGAATATCTACACGTCACATTACAATAAAAACTAAAAATTCCATGTCGTTAGAGCAGTTATTGAAGCATATTCAAAGATAGTGGCCTAAATTGATTTCTTTTTTCTGTCTTGTACTTTTAGCAGTAATCTTATAATTGGCATCTTGTCTACTCTCATGTACATAGAAGAACAAAAGAAGAAAGACAAAATTTAGAACTCCATACTCAAAGATAGGTCTAATTATGGACATTCATGTTGGATCATCACGTATTTCAAAATGTTAGTTAGTTTGTTACTGAACAACATATACTTAAAAATGAATATAAATTCGAATGTTGATCGTTACACGTGTTGTGAAATAATTGCACGTGATTTCATTACAATGAACTTATCTTCCCAAAGAATAGGTAAATGTATAGGGGAGGTAAGTCCCCATAATCTATGAGTCCACTAGAATAGAGGAGTTAATCAATTTTTATAAATCAATAAAAGCATAGTCTTCTCAATCACCAATGGCTTGCAACCGCACTTATTACTTGTTATACCATTTGTGCCCAATTCGGATTCATCACTTCACTCGCCATTCAATATGTTATTAATTAGATGCAAGGGTAACTTTGTCTTTCTAAATATACCAATGAATATTACAATTTTATTACCGTTGGTATAAATTAAATTGAAATTAATTATCTAATCTCATCTCATGTTAAACCTGAACGAAACACGATACATGTCATCTTTCTAAGAAAGTAACATCTTCCAAACTCGTGGAAAAAAATTTCTATCACTAATTGCGATCAGTTTTCATATCAATCTAAAATATTTTCTAATACGTTTATAAGTTGGGCAATTCTAAAACCATTTTGTATTAATAAAAAAATACTTTGAGAGAAATTGAGGAAGTAGTTATAAACAATGATACATGTCTGGAAATCTTGCACTCCTTTGAGTAATCTCCCTGGAAACTACTTGATTTGAATACGTAAACATCTAATAAAATAAGGAACGCATAAAGATCAGCGGTGGTCTAATGGCTCCGTAGTCGCCTGTCGTCATCAGATGGTTAGGTCGTGAGTTCAAACTTCACTAACCTCCTCCCCTATAAAAAAAAAATAAGGAACGTTGTTTGGACATTGATGAGTCCTCTCTACCTCACCGGATTGTGATAATTTATTGTACCAAATAAAAGTGGTAAATACCCACAAATATAGTTAATCATCCACAAAAATAATTTTTTTTTTGTTGTAAAATAACCAACAAAAATAATAAAACTACCCACTGAAGTAGTAAATTTTGGAAGTACAGTAACAAGTCCCTTTCTAGTAATTAAAAAAGATATGTGTAAAAAGGCTAGAAATATCTACAAGGAAATTGTGTGAATGACATATTATAAAAAAGATATCTGTAAAATGGTGAGAAATTTCTATGAGGAAATTGTGTGAATGACATTTTATAAAAATGACATCTGTAAAATGGAGAGAAATTTCTGTGAGGAAATTGTGTGAATGACATTTTATATTCTAAAAGATTCTCAAAATTTTAATTTATACCTTGAAAGATTAAAATTCTCACATTACACCTTCAATCAGATAAAATAATAACAAATAGTCCAAAAGTATATGTCCGTTATCTTTTATGACAAATTTTTTCGTTATATTTATCATATTATATTATTTTTATACACAATTATTTGCATAATACTAAATTTTGTGTGTTTTCAACAAAAATGTGGTACTCAATTTTGAATGGAGCACATTACTAGTTTTCTGCTTGATTAAGGGTGCAATATGATAATTTCATTCTTTTGAGGTATACATTGAGAAAACGAAAATCTTTCAATATGCAAAACGCCATTTACCCGAGAAAACTTTTCTTAGTGAAATGCAGAGAAATTTCCTTTCTGTGGCGAGTAGGTCTTAAACCTCATGAGGACCATAGCCATCTGGTAATTCACCAAGTGCCAAAGGTGGACTTTGTAGTTGAAACTTTGAGTGATTTGATTTGAGCCAGTGTGGATGAATTGGCGTAGAAATTTCATAAACCAAGAAAACTTTTGTAGTTGCTGCGGAAGGGAAAGTTACAGATACCATACGGGGGCAGCGCAATCTAATTTGGGGTCTTAGACAAATATGTTATATATGAGATTTTAAAAAATAACTTGAAATATCTTATACAAATGTAAAATTATTATTCGTACTTATTATACGATAGACAATTGATTTTAATAATAACACTGTAAAGTGATAATACAAATTAATATAAATATCGAGTGAGATATAAAAATAAGTTGAACTTTAGGATCCTAAATTTTTTTGAAAGAGGTTCTACAAATTTTACAATAATACTAATTGCACTTAATTTGAGGATCAAGTGCATTAGATAAATAGTGAATTTTATTTAAAGTTAACACTCACTATTAATTCAATAATTAAAATATATTAAGTATTTAAATTATATTCTAAAATTTTAATTATATATCATTATTTATTTTATTTTGAGGCCCCAAAATTTTCTTTCAATTTGGGGCCCTAGGCAATGGTCTAAAGGTTGGGTCAGGACTAATATGATAAGCGAGTGGAATAGTCAGTGCAAATTTGAACACTCTGTAGCAAAAAAAAAATGAATGGGTATATTTTATTCACCAAATTTGAGCACGCATGTTTGAATCAAACAAATATCATTTCCAAAATAAGTATAAGATTTTGTATAACTTATCTCTCTTAAACTCGATTATAAACTATCGTAACTACCATGTTTTTTTCACAAGAATATGTTCACTGTGACAAAACTGATACTAAAAAGAGACTTTTCTTGAACATTGAAGAATGTTTTTAGAAAATTTATATCCTAATTTAAATTTAGGTTTGAAAAAAGATATGGACTAGAGATAATCTTAGCATTTCTGCCTCTCCACGAAAACAAAATCTACACCATCAATATAGGGTTGGTAGTAAACCACCTCCACATCCTGCAGAGTTGCACATTGTCACAAACTTGAAATGTTTAATGGTTAATGATATCATAATACAGTAGGAAGTTAGTAGCAATTTTACTTATCCATAATCTAGAATTTTAATGTCATCTTATCATTACAATAACCTAAGCTTTTCCAACAAATTATTTACTATACACGAATGGAAATCACACCTATATCGATATAAGTATTCAGACAACCTTCTATCACTTTTTATCAGTATACAAGCAAAACAAATGATATAACTTCCCCAATACACACCCTTAGCTTTTCTCCTCAGGATTCATGTTTTGTTTTTATCTTAGTTCGAGTTCGACAATTAGTCTTAGTAGCAAGAAGCAACGACTTTCACGCTTCTTGGAACTATTAAGGTATGATATTTCGTTTTGTAGTTGGATAGAAAAGTTGACACTTTTTTCAAGATTTAATTTGTGCGAGATGCTCTTTTGCGCCATTTTTTCTTTTGTTCTGTTCCTATAGTTACTTTTTCCACGCTCTCTTTTATCCCACCAAAGATCCCCCTTATGTAATAGGGGTTAAGGGGGGTGCACACCATGGTAAAATCTGCGTGAAAAATTGAAGGGTTTTATTATTCTAAAGTATTTTGCTCCCGCATCCCTTCTCTCTTAAAGGCTCTGCACGTCCCGGCATTCTGATTGATCCTGTAATGTTGTAATCATGTTGTTCTTTTATACCCCGCTGTACAACTACAGGAGACTTAGAAGTATTTGGAGTCTTTTGCGGTACTAATTGATGTTCTGTAGGATTACTGTGGTTGATGGATTTTTTTTTAGCAAAGGTCCAAGAACTGAAATGACATTTTTTGTGGTTATTGGACATAATTGTTGCCATTTTTTCACACCTCATTTTTTAGCATATGATTATGAGCTGCACAAGGCTTAAAGTTGGAATTTGAACATTGAATGCAGAAGATTTTCTAATTTATTTTCAGTGGACTATTTTCTTCTGCGAGTCCTTTGTCATCCTTAGGTTATTTAGTGGATCGGTTTCAGTCTTTATGAAGGTAAGGTCTTGCATTGAGGCACTGTCAAAGCCGACTTTTGGGAGATAAGATCATCTATTACTTATCTTTGAAATTCTACTATCGAATAAAGTCTTGTGTACTGAATAAGATATTATTCTATTGTTTCTATCGTAATATCCCACATGAGGTCATTAATAATTGCTTCCAGCTGCAAAGGATAAGAACTATTTCCTAGGATGGTCTTAACCTACTGACCTTCAAGCATGTTGAAGGATGAGGTGAGTAGATAATCAGTCTCCCTCTATACAACTGCCCAAGTTTTTCATCAAACCCACCCAAGCACCCACACAAACGGTGGGCATGTTAGGATATGGCATTGTTTGAATAGATGTCTAAACATTATCAAATAATAAACTTCCAACTCTCTTTCCACATCTTATTTGCACAAGCGATACTTCCTGAGTTTATACTTAATAAAACGAGAGTAAAATTGTTTTATATTTGATGAGCCCGAGCCAGATCATAGATGTAGATAAGGCCTATGTCACAGATACAGACCAATAAAAGCTCATCACAATTTCAATTGGACCAAACGCACCATTTTGAAAGACCAATTTATTACTAGTGCACATTGAGATCTCCATCTTTGGAATGGAGTCTGTAGAATACAATTATCAGGATGCACATCGTCAATTTCACATAATCATCTCGCCCGTACAAGAATAACACATTCTCGTAGAACTATCCCGCTCCCTGTGATGAAGCTTCAATTAGGGCTCCCTCGAAGATAATTGTGAAACTTTACTTGCCTATAAATCGTAAATCCCGCCTACACATAGAAGGCATCACTCATCTCTCAACACTCTACGCACTTTAAGTAATAAAACTCTCTTGCCACTATAATCATTTCTTGTTGAATAGGTCATTCAGGCCGAACCACTTGACCTATGTGTTTGATTGTGTTGAGCATATCCATCACTTACTTCATTACATACTTAATTGATTTTACATAAATACTTTTGTGCTCATCACCATTCATGTACTCCATAACTTGCTATACAAAAACAAGTATACATTTGCATCTCACAAGTGTAATAAAATCATATATTTGCAGGAGTATGTACCCATCATCTATTTATTGCTTCATTACAAAAAGATAATAGACTTTATCCAACTGCAATTTATTGCTTCAAATTCAAGCTTTAGCTTACTCATTCACAACTTCTCTGGAAGCATGTACACAATTGCAAACTAACAGGAGGAAAATTTCTCTCTCCAGCAAGCAGAGCAAAGCTAAACTACCAGTTGTATGTACATCAATCAATAACTCCAAATTGTCTTAGTCTAACACTGCACACTCTATCGGGCAGCACTTACTAGCACTATATGTGCATTTGTTATTTAAACAAGAACACTAACAGTATCTCTGCTTTTGTCGAAAACGAATTTTTCTTGCCACAGTCTTCGTTATTGAAAACCATCTCAGTACCCCAAACAACATTGTCCATCGCTTCTTAGCTTTATCTATGGCAAAAGCTGTAGAACGAGCCAAAATAAAGTCATTAACAACACATTGTAGATCAGAATGTGGTTCGAGACTCGCGTTCTGAAGGGAAAAGTCAGAATCAAAATACTGAAGCTGCTCATCCTCACAGAAGTCTTGTGGGATGGAGTCAGTGCCAATGATCAAAGGGTTCGCCACTTGGCTTGGAAAACTCAAAGGTTGGTCGAACATAACATCCATGGAGTCAATGCTTTGCAACCCATAATCATCCAAGCTAACACCCCCAATGGAATAGATGGATGGCATGATGTCTGGGGAAGAGGCACTTAGCTGCATACAATCAGATTTGCCCACTTTTTCGGATGCCAAATCCTTATTGCCATCAGAACTCCCTGTGATGGCTGAATTTGAGGGGTAAAGACCATTGGACATGGGCAAAAGGCCATCCGTAAGAGAGGCCTCATCATCAAAAGAGACTACATCCTCGAAGTTTCTAAACGCAGAAATTACCGAGTTGTGGGCGTCAGCCTGAAAACAATGCTAGTTATACGGAAGTTAGGGATTATTTTCTTCTAAAAAAAACAAAGAAAAGAGCAGAAGTGAAAGGAACAAAAAGTAACAGCAAAAAAGAAACATAACAATTTTGCGACAGGGGAACATGCCTTTTCCGTTTCAGATAGCTTATCAGTGGCAATATATTGGCAATCTGAAAGAATTCCCATCAACTGCCCCACAGCATTGAAAACTACACCAGCCTTGTGTTGAGATCCAGAAGGACAGTACAAGTAGCACCTCTTATCAATTTCGCATGTCCGAGCATGGTCCACTGCAACTTCCCACATTTTAGCAGACATACCTGTCCCAAGGATCTGCAGAAGTTCCAAGAAACGAATTGTTACCGACTTGTACTCTAAAATAGTTATTGAGAAATTCAAAGAAGAAAACTGTTACTGCTAAAACATGAAAGGAAGGCTAATGAGCACCAAAGTTATAGGTCAAAGAAACATTTATGTCCTGTATAAACAGTGGCCGGAATTTATTTATTTTAATCCTCTAATTTCAACCCTCAACCCACCCCTCCTCCCTTCAACACGGAAGAGGCTCCTTGTAATCTAAACACTGTGGCCAAGGATAAGGACATGGGTACAAGGAGTCCAACACAGCAACCTTAAATCCTTAAATATAGGTTGTCCAGATACACGTTTTAGCATGAACAAAGTTTAAAGTCATCTGATTCACACAGATTGTAAGGCAGTTATGCAAAATGTCCTAGTTTCGGAATGCAAATATGAAATACTTCTTTTGGAGTTGGATATCATTCTAAGCAAAAAATAGCAATATTGCCTTTTCCATGTCATTCACAAAGAGGAGTTAGTTATTTGTGTCAGAAAATAGCCCTTCTCAAACCACAGCCTGCTTCACACATACATGCATTATCATCACTTCAATATATAGAATCTCTATATATCAATGTGGCTCGCTAGTTTCCTTTCATTTCAAATATAGAAACATTAATGTCATGACATAACAAAAGGTCACTACATCATCATTCTATGAAATTCTTGTTACAAATTCTACCCTTGAAGCCTTTTCCAAACAGAATTGTTTACAAGATGATGGTGCCTTGTAGGCTCGAATGTTACTGATCTACGTGGCAAAAATACAAGGAGCAGTAAATTCTTACATTTCGAAGCCTTGTAGGGTCTAGGAACAGTAAAGTCAAAAAATCCTTCACTGTGTAGACTTTTTCTTTACTCAACCGCTTGTGAAAAGCTCCATCTTTGCCAATTTTTTCTAGCCGCCATACTTCATCCAGAAGAGATGGGGGGTGGTGCTTCTTGTACACTGCAAAAAAATTTGCAGTAAATAAATGTGAAATCTACAACAATCATACTGTCATGATAAATTGTTCAAAATCTCTGGGATACCACTTTATCTTTACTTTCCCTCGTTTAGTTTCACGAACTAGTTACATGATTACGTAAGACAAGAATAAGACGTCAGAATGAGATCAATGTGTAACACAGAAAAACCAGGAAAAAAAGAGAGCATATGAATTCAATTGTACAATATACTAGAATATAAGTGGGGAAGGGAAAATAATGACTAAGAACAAAATGGACGTCTATTCTTCTTTCCACCGAAATGTATAAAAGTCACCAACATTCAACCAATACTTGATATGTCGGGCAAAAATACAGTGAATCACCTTTCTTAACACCACATCATACTCTGGGTCACTACCATGGTTCTAATGTTTGATTAACAGCTACCCTATATCCCACAATATACCTTCGGCGTGTGTGTTTTTCGTTTGCATATTTCATTTGCACAGAGTATCGTACAGATCCAGATTTACAATATTAAGAATGTCAAAATTGCTAAAAGTAAACACAGCAAGAGAACATAATTAACAATTTAATTACTCACATTCTCCACGATGATCCCTGACAATGAAGGATTCAGTCTTTGCTTCTCTTACTCTGATTCCATCAAATTTTTCTACAACTCTTGCTCCCAGCCTGAATTTACGACTCCTTGTCCAGCTGGAATTATCTGTGAAAGAAATCTCACCCACCAAACCAATGCCCTCTTTAAGATTCAAAAGAGCATCCCCACTAAGAAGGGGTTTCTTCCCTTCCCTTTCTCTAACGATATTATTCTTAAACTCTTCAAGTGACCAGTTGTCTCCTTCGTCACCATCAAAATCTCCCTCAAGTACTACTATTTCCACCTTTGCTGCGGCTTCAGGCCCACTGGAAACAAATTCCCCAGAAAGAGCATCAATTAAAGCTACTTTTAAAGTGGTACATTCTTCTCCTTCAATACGAGTTCCAGTAAATACTGGGAGACAGATGGCGTCTAAGAACTGTAATTGTAAGCTTCTTGATTCAGAAGGGTGCATCTCTTTCCCACAATTCCTAAACAAGGCATATGAGGATGTATCAAGCACACAATAGCCACAACAGAAGGTCACCACTGACCAAATTACCTTAACGGTAAATTCATATCTTCATCAGAGTAGTGTCAAATGGCTTACCACTTCATGCTGGACAAATATTTTCTCAAAGCCAGCTCAACTTCTTCTTTTACCTATAAACCCAAATTCACATCTAGAGCTTATTATACTTGCAGTATGGAAGAGTCTACAGAATTAGAAACCTCTACAGATTGAAGAAAAAACAACATTATTACAATGTAACAATTAAACCGATTGAAGTATATCTAAATCACTAGACGCTGGTAAAGCAATATAACAGAAACCAAGATGTTAGACCCAAAATAGTGAACAAGTAAAGGAAAGCTTGAAGAATGACTATCAGCACCACATCCAGGGTATCCCATTTTTTCCATCTTGTTCTTGATATTTTGCAAAGTAACACAACAGAAACCATGATGTTACACCAAAAATAGTGAACAAGTAAATTGGGTGTGTTTTTTTGTGTATAACCATGAAACACAAAAAGAGAACATACATGCACGCTCCAATATATAAATCTAAATGGTATCACATCAAGAACTAGAACATGCAAGGCGTATTAATTTGGTGCAGACTAATCAGGAAAAATATAATTTAGCAAATCATTTGCCAGACCAGGCAACTTACGGGGCCTGTACAAGGAGTAGAATTATCTATTCACTTAACTAAATTTCATCTTATATCCATTCTGACATTCCAAGACTTGAAATCATTCTAATGTTATGTCACTCCCCTACAGCATTTGAAGCACAAAGGCATTATTTTTATGAATTTTACAGCATACCCAAGAACGAAATATGGGGAGGTAGAGGGATGGGTTGGGGGAGGGAGTGAGGGAGGTAGAAATACAGTCCACACAAAAAGTGATAGTAACATATGTCATTTTTCCACCACTTCGATCGTATTTGAATCTTCTCAAATGAATGAGATTCTGATAGCAGATTTTCAGCTTGTCACATAAAGGATAGGCAAGACATCAAGTTCAGCTGATTTGTAAAGAAAAGTCCAAAAATGACACTTAATGAAGATCTCATATGTGTTCAATTCAAGGGGAATTTTACTACCCATGCCCAGCCATTCACACCATAAAGATTTTTTATGAAAGTCGGTCTCTAAATAGGTAGTTACCTAATTATCAAACTTTAAAACAATGGGCAAGTAGAATGCCCCAATATCCAAAGATGACATTTAACGCAAAAAATGACTCGTCCCCCGTCCCCCCCACCCAATGGTATACTTGAAGTTGGGATAGTTGCAGAAAGGTCATTAAGCAGCTATCTAGTTTACATCATCCTGTCTATACCACCATAACAAAAAACATACAAACAGAACCAAGAATTTCACTTCTTGAACACTTTCGCAATTTTTAAAACATCCACTTGGCTCTCGATTCATATGATGAATTAAATCAGTTGATTATTGTTTGTTTCTCAACTAAGACTGAGCAATAAAACTAAATTTTGTAGCATCCCATACCAGGTGCTTATTAAAAACCACAGAGAAAATAGAAAAGGGAACACAAAAAAATACATAGGCAGACAATAAGCAAAGACCTCTTTTGTAGTGCCCCTTGTTATTGCATCCATGTTAGCTGCCACATTTTTTTTTTAACGAGAAACCATTACTATATTCATAATAATACAAAAAAGTACATCAAAAGAAACAATGTTGGACAAGAAGTCCAACCTTCAAGTGACAAGATACAAAACTAAAATCAAAGGATAACTCATGTGTGAGGTCCAATATACTATAAATCACAAACTGCCTGCAATCCCGTCAAAATACAAAAAAATGGAATTCCTTCAAAGTTTTTAGTGATTGAGGCCCATAACGAGGCCAAGAAAAAAATACGGTTCAGTAGACCATCAACACTCTCCCATCTATCTTCAAAGATCCGAGCATTCCTCTACAAGAAATTTGTTGCTGCAACATGTGTCACTAACTTGGTGCTACAAATTTCTAAAATCAAAAGATTGTGTCACCTAGTAATTTTCATCCATCAGGACGATGTCTAATTATGTGTTTCATCTTGACCACCCATCTTATTCTTGTCTAATCTCTAATACGAAAAATAGGCATCATTAACAATTTCATTTTAAACTAAATGGATGGGCTCCCCAAACCCAACAATCTTTCAAAGAATGGTCCATCCAGGCGATTCACGATTATTTAGCATGCAGGAGCACGGAAGACATCTTTTTCTATGCAAAGTGCTAAAAATAGGTGTTACTTAACATAAGGTCTATGTCGTAATGGGTTTGGGGGGTGCTAAACCTGTTGCTCTTTGCTTTTGAGTGGAGAATTTGAAAGAAGCCGATAACTAGTAAGACTATAAATCAGGATCCCAAGATCAAAACTGGGTATACAGACCCAATCAAGTCTTGGTTGCCTCAACTGGTCATGTTGAATCAGGATCTGAATCTTGGCTACTCCGTCAGGATTTTGATAGATTTAGTCACCAAAACGGACCGAACTCTTTCCAACTATAAATAGGAAAGACTACAAACAATAAGAAAGGCTAAGAGAAGGAGCGTACACACTTTAGAAAGTTAAACCCTAGCCATCCAAATGAACGCAACAAACCCACTCGGGAATATGGTTAAAACTTTGAGAGATCGAAAACCCAAATAGTGAGTTCATTGTGTGAACACCTCGGTAGATAACATAAACTTACAATGATTGTTGGATTGCTACAGAGGGTTTTGAGGGCGGAGTCCAAGGAGGTGCGACGTGATCCCTTAGGCGGGAGAATTAATGGTATAATTCGAGTGGTTAGCGGATTGTGAAGTGCAATTTGTGTCAGATAGTATTCGTGTGAAGACCCTGCCCCATTACCGGGACCCTGTCTTCCAAGGGCAATCCTCCCATTACCGGGATATACCGCCCTCCACCAAAGGATTTCGGCTAACCTGCAGGACTCGCCCCACAGTAGCCTTTACCTCCGTCCCACATCGGGGAAAGAGTCGTCTCCCCACCCCCATATAAGCCGAAGCACAATATGGGGGTGGGGAGACGACTCTTTCCCCGATGTGGGACGGAGGTAAAGGCTACTGTGGGGCGAGTCCTGCAGGTTAGCCGAAATCCTTTGGTGGAGGGCGGTATATCTCGGTAATGGGAGGATTGCCCTTGGAAGACAGGGTCCCGGTAATGGGGCAGGGTCTTCACACAAAAGGCGCCTTTTGTGTGAAGACTCCTCCCATTACCGGGATGTAGGTCTTCCAAGAGCATTTTACCGCCCTCCACCAAAGGATTTCGGCTAGCTGCAGGACACGCCCCACAGTAGCCTTTACCTCCATCCCACATCGGGGAAAAAGTCGTCTCCCCACCCCCATATAAGCCGAAGCACAATATGGAAGCAGTACCCATCTAGCACTAGTGCTAGATGGGTACTGCTTCCATATTGTGCTTCGGCTTATATGGGGGTGGGGAGACGACTAGTGCTAGATGGGTACTGCTTCCATATTGTGCTTCGGCTTATATGGGGGTGGGGAGACGACTCTTTCCCCGATGTGGGACGGAGGTAAAGGCTACTGTGGGGCGTGTCCTGCAGCTAGCCGAAATCCTTTGGTGGAGGGCGGTAAAATGCTCTTGGAAGACCTACATCCCGGTAATGGGAGGAGTCTTCACAATTCGAACCTGTTGTGGAATCAAAAGTAGGTTCAAGACAAGAGGAACATCGGTGCATGGAGTCCGAAAATGTTACAAGTCTTTTGAACAAGTCGAGTCACATCTAGTGAATTTAGGGCTGGACGAGATCATTTTCTTTCCTTTTCCGGTTTACTAAACAATCATTTGCCTCTTTTCTTGTGTGATTGCTTTAAATATTTGCATGCCATTGAAAAATGACTACACCATGTGATTGATTGCATAAGAGAATAAATGGGCTCACTTTCATGTGCATCCATGAATATTGGTCTAAATAATTTTATTCAGCTGATAAACGAGCTATAATTTGAAAATACCTATTCACACGTCCTCTAGGTCCATCTACAATTTCATGGATATCGATCCTAAGCCCCTCATCCATGAATATTGCTTCGAAAAATATTTGATCCTAGTTAGCCAGTGCTAGTTACAAAATTATATTTGAGATTTGGTTACAACTCATATACCTATCCACAAATGGTGGGAGATCCAATTTTCCCCAAAATCTCCATTCAATCTTCTCAGCTACCTTTGATTACCTTAAATCAATTACCCATACATCACCTAAAGGCTTGCCAAATTATATTGATAATATTTTGACACGTGATTGGTGATTTATGCTCACAAAAGTAGTGAAAAAATAGTTGGTGAAATGTTCTACCAAATTCGAAGAACATGCTCCTATGTGCCCAATCGAATCAAGTAAGTCTTAAGTAAACAACACAACATGACTCTTTAAGAAACTGGATAAGTTAAGCCACAAAATATCAAATCACAGTTAAAACTTGTTTCTAAGGTATGAACTTACAACTCTACGAATCAAGGGCTCCAAAACTGGCTCAATAATAGGCTGGACTTTACGCAAGCTCATCACCTCCAGCACAACACTACAATGCATCAACAAAAGAGTTAGTAACAAAAAAAAAAAAAAAAACCACATCATTCCAGTCATCTGAGCCTACACTGCTACTTATTTTTACTTTTTTCACATCTCTCTATAGCAAGCATTTATGGTGCAATATCACCAAAAAAAAAAAATTGTTCTTCAACAACTAAAACCGAACAACTCCTATCAAGGATACAAGCACAAGGCAATCAAATTCAGAAAATTTGCCAAGGATACAGCATTACACTCAAACAACCAATAGTACAACAATATAGAGCACAAGTTATTCACAACAAACCGAATTCATCAGGCAAAATTAAAAGTGCATCCACTTCATGACCATTCTCCCATATGAACTCAAAGAGCCCATGTTACAATCCCAAATCGATTAAGCATGACCTTAATTAAGTGTCTATGACTTCTTTGACATCCTTCCGTAGGAAATCGGTGTTAAAGGATAACTCCAATCATAACAGATCACATCACCAGTTCGAGTGGTACAACCTATATGCTAGACTGTATTTTAAAATACCTTGGTATTATACATGGGCACCAGATTGAGTCATTGAATACAAATCGGTAAGAGGAGCATCCAAAGAGAAAGGGTTGTCATGGGATCAGTGTGTTGGAATTGCTCCAATGTTACTCTCGTTAAAAAATTGCTCTAATACCACTATGTTGGTATTATTCTTGTGCCTTTGATACCATTTTTTTGTAATGAAGAGGGTAGAAATACAATTGAAGTAGAGAAGGAGATTGAACACTCAAACTAAAATGACTTTCATTTAAGTAGATTATAATCACCTTCACACTCAATTTGGACTCTTCACTCATACTCAACTCTAGTTACCTCTACCAGTAGGCCACATAACCTATTTATACAGTTCTAAAATATTAAGACACCAATTTTCCCCGCTACTTGTGGAATTAATACAATACTCGTATCTTTGTAGTCCACTACGTGGATGTTGATGACCGAATAACACAAATCACTCACCCACTACATCCAAAATAAATATTACATTAGCCCACGAACACAAGTTATTAACACACCACAACAATTTAATAAAACTCTAAAAACAAGTTTATTTTCCAACAGTGTCATAGAGTGAGTCGCTATGTATGACGGTTATGGAAGCATGGTGGAGTACTACGACCCCAGTTTTTATGTATGTATATGAACTGTAGGGCATAATGATACAAGCTGGTTTTCAACGTTCACAACATCCCATTTTTTAACTTGTACCGGAAACAAAAACATCCATGTCAAAATCCTCTATATCAAGCCCAATGCAATTGAATTAATCACCAATTTTAACATGAAATCATGCTAAGATCAGTTCATAGTCAACAAAATCCACATATGCATACACAGGTAAATAAAAGTGGCCGAATATAAACTAAATTCTACATAGAAAAATAGAGACTCACCTTCTGAAAGAAGGAACTTTTCGCCGCTTTTCTTCGGAAGGGTTGCCTTCTGATCGAGCCTTGAAAAACCCATCCTCCTGCTGTCTCTTCTGCGACATTATCGATGTCTATGCCCACACCAAACAACGATACTAAGTGGGTATGGCGCTGCGATGAAATTGAAAAGAGGGATCGGAAAATCATGAAGTGGGTGATGAAGGGACAAAGAGACCAACATGCGTTGTCCGATGAATGAAAGAGGAATATATATATACAGCAATAATATATATGAGTACAAAACCAAGACCAATAAATGAGTAAGCTCCAAAACAAAAAAAGTTATGTCCAATTCCCATCAACCCATCTCAGAATTTGGCTGCCTCTGCAACACTGTTGCTTCAGAGCAGTAGAGGCTTGTTTCGGAGCTTTTAGAGAGAAAAATTGTAGGGAAAAGCGAGGAGGGTAAGGTTTCTTTCTGAAACTCAGAACGGGAAGAGAAGTATTGGATTCCCTCTACTCTACGTGTGAACAGTGTGTGTGTGTGTGTTTGTATGAGAGAGAGAGAGAGAGACCTGGGACCGTAAAAGCGCGTTAGGCTAGAGAGATAGTTGGGGTCCACAACCGAAAATGCATCAACGCGGATAACTGATAGCACCTCCTTCCCTGCTATCTTTGGCGTGTGCATTGACGCCTCTGTACTGTGAGATTTATTATTATTATTATTTTGGGTTTTTTGAATTGTTACTTTGTTTGATTTTCAAGGTTTTTGTTTTTGAATCTTATAAAAAAAATAAAGGGTTGGAATCTTGTGGTAAAGAAAGTTTATATATTAAAAAAAATGATTAATTTCGCTTTACACCTCAAAAGATATATTTCATTCTCACTTTGCACCATCAAACATTACCAATCTCAACTTTCACCCTCAATTTTATGAAGGAGTTGTAATATGGATCTGATCCAGATTGTCGTTCAATTTTTCTTCATAAATTAAAGCACGTTAATTACAAATATTTTGAACATGGGCTTATGTGTAAATTCACATACTATTAGCATCTCATGTGAGCTGCACATGATAGAGTTAGTCTCTATCTCATTAATGAAATCTTATTTTCAATACAAAAAATAGTGTTAAATTAAACGTAGACAAAGATCTACAGCAATGGGTATACGTCATCTTCATGTATGAAGCACTTGTACTTCACTTATTTCAATTTATGACAAAAATTGAACTACAATCTAGATATGTTCTACATTACTAGCAATTCATAACATTTAGGGTATAAATTATAATTTTTTCTTTTCTCCTATTGTCGATTTCATATTATACACTTATTAGTTTTTAAATTGTACCTCAATTATAAATTGAGATCCCAAATGACATCCCAAATTAGTAGGAACCATTAGGTTATGGCTTTGTTTAACCCTTTTTAAGAGGATCCACTCATCCAATGTCCCTACTAATTTGAGATACAAAGCATTTTTCTTCTCATATTGTACCTCCAATTATGATTCTTGGTTTCATATTAGTCCCCAAATTATTAATTTTTATTTTATATCACCAATTATAATTATTAACTTCAAATTGTCCAAATAGTTAACACTAGAAATACTTATTTTCTACACATTTGAATATTTTTTATCGAGAAAAATGTCCAATATTTGGATGTATGAGAGTGTGAAACTCATTCAAGCAGTTAAGAAAGTAATAATAGAAACATAATGGTTTAAGAAATGACAGTTAATCGAGCCAAATTTTTCGAGTTTGAACTTTAACTTGTCGAGCTCGTTTTTCTAAATAAACCTAAATAATTTTTCAAGCTTGAATTTGTTTAAAATATGAGCTGAACCTTGGCTGAGCATGTGTAATTCGACTATTATATATATAAATGTGCCAAATTTTGTGATCTTGAACTGAGTTTTTTAGAATTATTTTTTTAAATGAGTCTAACAAATTATTTAAGATCAATTTATTTAAAATACGAATCAAACTCGAGTCAAATTTTATCTGAGCTGAAATCAAATAATTCGACTGGATTCAAATTCCAAGCGTAGGTACAAAGTAAGTCTAAACACGTAATGGAATATATATATATATATACACTTGTGTGCGTGTGTGTGTTGCTTTTGTGTTTCTCTTTATGAATGTGCTTGATATATAGTTCTCCGTTACTTGAAAAAAAACACTCATAAATCTATGGCAAGATTGATTGATTGATTGATTGATTTAATTTGAGTAGATCACTAATCAACCAACCAACCAACCATATTTTACTAATCAACCATATAATCAACCGGTTCATAAAGCAATAATATTAAGTCGAGTAGAAAATAGATTCTTTGTTATTTGTGTTAATTTTAAGGAAAATTTCATTTTGTGCCTAAAAGATACAAAAAAAAATTAGTTTATCTCTCAAATGATTATTTTTTTCACATTGTCCTTTAAAAAATAAAAATATTATAATGTAATTTATATCTTATTTCGGTTTGATCATCCGTCTATTTTGTTATAATTTGAAAAAATTAATCATTCAGAGGATAAATTAAAAAAATGTATATCTTCCGGGGGCAAAATAAAATATAACCTTAATTTGAATTCAAATGTGGAAGTACTTACGATATCAAAAAAAAAAATGCAAAACAAATGAAAGTTGTCAGAAAACAAACAACTAGTTCGGTAAAAAGCATACTGGTTATGTGTATTATTTTTTATGCTGGCTGGAATACATTTTTGTTTGGTTTTTTTTTTTTTGGTTATAAAGTGTTTAGACTTGCGCCGACTAATTCCTTAAATTGAGTTAAAACATATCCCTAATTTTCTTCCATATTTAAATTTTCTCACAACTAACTAACTTTTTTCTTATAAAAAACACAAACAAATGGAAAAAAAGTTGTGATCTTTAATTAACTTCCAATGTTACCCTTATTTTTCTTAAAATAATTTATTGGTTATTAATTTTAAAAAATCTTAGTATGAATTGATTAATCATATAATTTAGTTCTAAGAACTTGTTGCTGGTACTTGTCTCAGAATTAGGTTGGTAGCCAATTTTTAAAAAATTTTAAATTTTTAATTATAATAAATATTTTTTACTTCTTTAGATTGATTTAATATACTTAAGGGTAATTTAGACAATTAAAAAAATTGTAACTTTCATTTCTTTCAAATAATAAATTGAAATTTTTTTAAAACTTTCTCACAATTTTTTCTATACTAACTAAATACATATATGAAAATATATTTTCTTCCATTTTCTTTTCTTTTACTTCACTTTTTATTATTAAATACATACATGAAAATATATTTTATTCCATTTTTTTTTTTTTACTTCACTTTTCCTCATCCTTTTTTTCCTAATTAAACGGACCTTAAAAGGACAACGGTAGCTAACTCTAAGGGGGTGTAAAAATAGATTGAAAACTGAGACCGCTGAGTTATCAAAAAATCGAAGACAACCACTGAATCACGCCTAAAAATTTAACAAACTTACTCTTGAATCAACTAGGAAAAACTTATTTCATTGAGCATTGGTCCACTTGAAACTACTTAGATTTGTGCCCTTAATTTAATGTTTGACCAACAAGCTTCTGTCTTATTTTTAATCTGGTTCAGACAATAAACAAAAGTGAGTGGGTCTGAAATTAAATATTTTATAGCCTTGTTTTCAATATAAAAAAAAAATAACAAGATCGATCTACCCATGTTCTAAAGCCCTTGGCCCATTGTTTTACTTTTCTAAAATTTTAAACTTTCTTATTGTTAGATGAATCATCTGAGAAATATATTAAATAAGTGGGATATAATGAATTTACATAGAATATTAGACCACAGAGTCATGTGGGGGGTGGGGTGTCGACCGCGTTGTGTCATATTATTTTAGTGTCTTGTCCTTTTTTAGTCGTGTTGTATTTATGTCAATAATATTAATTCTAAATCAACTAATATTATACTATATAAAGAAATTAAAAAGATTATAAAATATTTATTTCTAACATATAATATTAGTTAAACATATTATTCGTGTCTAACTTTAATCTATTTTTTTTCATTATTCGTGTTAATTGTGTCGTGTCTTGTTTACATCAGTTTATATTGTATTCGCGTTTATAATTAAAAATGAGCCATGCCACGCCTACTTGTAAATCAAAAAAATTAAAATAAAAACAAAAACAAAAAGAGTTAGGTTTGATGTTATTTTCTTTGCCAAACAACGTTGGAACGCAGAATGCTTTGGGGACAACCGTACAAGGTTGGTTCAAGAGTTGCAATCTGTAATCTTTGAATACCTACTTACTCGGTAAGTGAACTAACTAACACTATTAACTCTCTTAATTAAAGAAAACAATTAGATTGCACTCCCCACTATTAACTCCTAAGATCCATTTATTTTATAGTCATATTTTATTTTATTTTTGTTCAACGATCAGTAGTATTTAGACAAATTTACGCACATTTTGACTAATTCTCTCTTCAGTCCGATCAAATATAAGTCATCTACGTTGGAACTATGATATTCATAAAAGATAAATACTTCATGACCTGACGTCAAGAGATTGCCAAAATTCAAATTTAAAATGTCTAAATTTACGGATCGTCCCAACTATCACTTGAATCATCCCTTGAAGTTATTTTTATAGTCATATTTGACATTAGCAAAAAGTCACATATATTCCTCCAAAAAATATATTTAGGCGTCAAGGGTTCTCCCTTTTTTTTTTTTTTTTTTAATAACCAGAAATCGTTTGACTGTATGCTACAATATAAACTTAGATTACAAGCAACCAACCGAAAATCACCATCACCACGAGTACAACTATGTTGTCTCTTACAAGTTTAAAAACGTGAGATCTCGAGAAACTAATAGGAAATATCCGACGCATTCGCAATCAGAACAGCTAGGGTAAAGGGTGAGTTCTTATCCCATAGCTGAGAATAGAGATGCAGGGGAATCTTTTCAGTATGTGTTTAGCAAGTTGGTGTTTTTTTGAAGGGGACTCTATGAAAGTGATAACTCACTTCATACGGAAGGTTGAGGCCAATTCCTCCACTGTTAGAATAATTGTTGCTGTTGTGAAGGGACAAATTATCCGAGGTTCACAGAAGTTTCCTTTTACAATGGAA